TTTGGGATCCCCACACACACACACACCCACACACACCCGCACACGCACACGCTCTCGCACGCAGACACAAGTTTGGCAAGCGAGAAGGTTCAAACAGACTCGTCTAAAGCCATCTCTTGTCTGCATGCCGGCGGCCATCTTGCGCCAAAGCTGATGGAGTTGCCGCTTGTCCTGTGCATGGAGCTTGCAAGTGGTTGGCCTGCTGCAAAACGCCAAATGGCTGGACACAAACTGCAGTGAAAATGACCACCCAAACTCCAAAACAAAACTGTGCCAAGGAGCCTTCAACAGTCCGTGGAGCTTCTTCTCTGCCACTTCGAACTGGTTCCTCAATTGAAGTTGCAGCTGCTGTAGAGCGAAGGAACGAACACTGAACTGAACCCGACGGGCGACGGCAAATCCCAGACCGGCCCCGACAAGTGCAGGGAAGTTTCACAATCTGCGTCTTGGCGGAGTGGCTGTGGTGCACAGCGACCTGGCGACTCAACTCCTAGGTCCTAGATTAGCAGATCCGCAGACTCCATTCGACGGCCTTCGAGTGATGCTTAGCGGATGGAGAGTGCAGGGATGGAGCTGGAGCCGTATAGACCGATGAGTCCACCGGACACTGCACCTCGGATGCATCGGCAGAACTCTCCGCCTGCCTTTGCCAAGCCCTCCTGAAAGGGGCCAGGCAGAAGCAACCCATCGGCAGAATTCGTCAAAAAGAATGAGGCCACAACGGTTCCTGACAGAGGGCAGCCACGGCTAAGTCTTAGCTAAGTGGTGCTAGGAAGCCTTCTTGCCTCTCACTTTGGTCTTGCTCTCACCCGACGCCGGGTGCCAGGCCTGTCGAGGCTGTCGAACAGGGACTTCGGGTTCACCACCTTCGGAAGCAAAGCCATGGACTCCATGGACTCCAAGGACTGACCTGGGGATCTCTCAGCTCCCGGCTGAGCTCATGCCGAGGAGTGAGAGACCGCTCCGGAATTCAGACATGGTCAGTCGCCGATCTCTGTCTGCATCGATCCCGTCAAAGACCTTCCAGAGGATGAGACGGGCTCACTCGATCTTGCCCATCAACATATGAGAGCGCGCGGCCCGTCGGAATTCCAGCCACAGGTTGCTTCTGAGGGCCCTACGCTCCAGACTTTGTTGAAGTAGATCAAGTCCCTGAGGCAGGCTACCGCTGGCGAAGCACCACAATCCAAACCCAAGCTGCCAAAGCTGAAGCCTCAGCAGGACGGCAAACTCTCGCTTGTTCACGTAGCTGTCCTTCCGGGAGCGACCAGGCTCTGGCAACGTGTCTGGCGCCTACTCCACGAGCTTGGCCTGGTTCAGGTCGCAGGCTTTGTACGCGCGCATGAGGGCCTTGTTTGGTAGGGCATGTACCTTCTGAGGGCTCATCGAGAAGATGCAGGCAGGTCACTGGCTTGTTGTTCAGCTGTGGGTAGGTGTCCACCACCCAGCGGTCAATCTCAGCCAAGCTGACGATGTTGTTGCCGTTGTAGTCAATGGCATCCCAAGCTTTCCAAAGCGCCGACTTGCCCGCTTCTGATCCATTCACCCAGAACTTGAACTTCTGTTCCAAATCGTCAAACTGTCCGCGGGTGTTGATGCTTGGGCTTGGGCCGCCGGTTTTAGCCGGAAACCTCGGACTCATCTGCTGCATGCCTGCATTCGCGAGGCCGCGGGACGGAAACATGGTGTTGGCACCACCTGTCACAGCCTCAGAAACTCAGAAGCAACGAATTAGTCTCGACAATGACATGCAGGTGGAGGCACTCACGGAGCCAAGAAGCTCCCTTGTTGGGGGATTCTGCAAGCGAGTATCCACCCACAGGCATGGCTTCTCTCTCACGCTGCACCCAGGCTTTGTGAGCGGAGCCACTGGCGACAGCATGTCAGCAGATGTAGTACCGAATGCAACAAGGCAACAAGGCCCCAAGACTCTACGCACCTTCTAGGTTGAAACAGAGCATGGAAGATCTGAAGGCGCACGAGAGGGCAAGGCGCATGCCACCAATTCCAGCAAAGAGCTCAAGCACACGCACCTCCCCCATGTCGATCATTTCGATCGCCACATCCGCAGCTAAGAGGGCTCACTGAGTTGCAGACGGGTTCTGTTCCCGCATCCTGTGCCCCGTCTGGGTTCGACTCCAGCTCCATGGCGGTGGGAAACGCTTCCGGGCGCACAGAGCTGGAACTCTCATGCTGCTGATGCTCTCTTGAGGGGACGAACAACTTCACCGTAGCAGCCATACCGCAGAACATGCTGGCAGGGGCTCTGCTGGCAGTTGCACCAGGCCACGACGGCGAAAGTTTGCAGCAGTGCAGCAGGTTACCCTTCATGCTCTTGCTGAGGCCAGCAAGGAAGAAGAAGCCTTTCGCACGGACCCTTCATGGTCATGCACTCAGGAGGCTCTGACATGCTTCGGTCAGGCCCCTTTCACCATTAGCTGCTACTCCCGCGCCCGCTCTGCTTCGCAGAGCTTGCTGGCCTGCCTGTTAGGCAGGTTGGAGGGGGTACTAGAATCATGTCTCCAGCATTCTCCAGCGTTGAGATAATATTATATTCGTGCAATCCACTTCCTGTTCGAATGCTTCATGCCCCTTGCTCAAAGCTCTATGCGGGCAGAAATCTCATTGGAAGAGCCACGCCACAAACTCCTGGTAGTCCTCAGACGCTGAAGGACGCGCTCGGCTTTCTGCAACTACTTCTCGGGGCGAGTCTTTGTGAAGGCCAAGCAGCAATCAAGCCGTCGCCATTGCAGTCAGCTTTCTCGAAGAGGATTCGCACATCCTCTTTCACGGAGCACAAAGAAGTCGCCGAGACAGCTGACAGATGCAAACTCCGCCTTGTCTCTGATTTTAGGATCCACTTTTCCTTGGGATTGTCAAGGAGCATGCGTCAAGCGAAAGCCTATGGGATCTAATCTGGACTGGTCGCGGAGAACTGAAAGAAGCTCTCGTTCGGATATCTTGCCATCCTCGGCGTCTTGCAGCTTGGCAATACTCTTTCAGTATCCAAAGCTCAGTAAGGAAAACACCAGCTCGGAAGTCACAGCATGCAACAGCCTCTCCAGCACAACCTATTGAAGCCCTCTTCACTGCAACAGCTTTTGACCTTTTCAAAATAAACACATCTTTGTCTTCATTACGGCACTACGGCAAGCCAGTTCTCACGGCTATAGAACCTATGCTCACAGAGAAAGCCCGCTGCAGAATCCCTGCGTTAGCAAGCACAACTTGCATTTACTCCACGCAGTCGGTGCGGGGATGCATGACAAGTCTTACGCGACGTACCTGAATGGATGACAGACGCGACGACCCATGAACGCTCCAACGCCCTCTCCTAAATTGATCTTTGCCCAAGCTGCGCAGTTCACGTCCCACTTCGCAAAAGTGTTCCTCAGCCAAAACTGAACGCTACAAAGCTTCGCATCAGCCGAGGAAGCATCGTTCAGAAGCCGGCTGCACAGTTTGCTCGTCAGGAGACCTGGCGCCGTGTAAGCCTGCCGCCTGGTCACAAGCTTACCCGACGTTCAATCACCTTCTGGCGCCGTGTGCTGAGTCCCTTGCAGCTCGAATCAAGCCTGTGCCGCTCAAGTCGACGGACTGCCTCCCTGCTTGACCTCTGGAGCAACATCGAGGTCGTGAAGAAAGGAGCTGCCCAAATTGCCCCCAAAACACTTTAAGCCACTTTGCAGCAATCCGGCCTCGATAGTCGCCGATATCGGGAATCCTCCGTGCCAGCTCCAAGTCAGAGGGAGCCTCGGGAGCCAAGTCCAGAGTGCCCTGCAGCAGCCGCATGAACTCGTTGTAGTGGAGGAACCCCGTGCCGCTGCGGTCGAAGTATGCTAACATTCGTGCAGCCTCCTCGTCCGTCACTTGCGCGCGGGCGCGATCGATTTCGTGTCCCACTGCCACCCCGGCACCTTCCAAAGCATGAAGAAACTCTTCCAAGGTCACAATCCCGTCGTCGTTGAGGTCGATGCTCTTGAACATCTTCTGCATGTTGGATCGTCGTTCGAACAAGGCCTCCCTGAGGTTCGTGACCAGCTGAGCTTCCTTCCGACCTGGTATTGACGTAACTTTAAAGCAAGTTCAGGGTTCGACACACTTCCGGAGGGCTTTGGGCAAGTTGCCAGCTTCTCCCTAGCCTTAGTGAGCCCCCTAACCTCGAGATTTTTGGCATCGCCTCACTCAGACTCCGCTCACACGAGTGATACGAGCTGAGCATCTGGCTGAGCTGGCTTACCCGCTGTTGAAGCACCAACTGCCGCAGGTGCCTCATGGGCTACAAGTCGCAGGCGACGCCAAAACCGAAACGTCGCGAAGCTTGAACCACACTCCTATCATTCAAGGAAAAGGAATTAACAGAGCATGTCATACACAGCTGCCTCCTGCACAGCCGAGGTGCTCTTTGGGCTTCGACTGCTGCATCAACTCCCGCTTCCTCTCCTCCCTGGCTGCAGCAGCTGCATGGGCTCCAGTCAATGCCCCGCTCCCCAGCTTTATGGTATCACCAGGGCCGCCGCCCCCAGGCTGAGCATCCCTTCGGGATGTGCCCTGCCCTTGACTGCCTGTGCTGCCCTGAAGGGCATTCAGAAATTCGCTGACAGAAACCGTCGTGCGATCTCCGGCTCCATCTCCAAGACCAGACAAGAGTTTCAATGTTCGGGGCTGATCGATTGAAAGCTGGAGCTGCTCTGCAAAAGCCGCCACGACGTCTGCATCCACGGGAGGCAGCGAAGAATTGCCATCGCAGTTTCCGGCATTCGCGACGGCAGGCATCTGCATGCACTCAGACAATGCCTCGGCAGGAGAAACACAAAGTTTCCGCAGCCGTTGGCGGAGAGTCTTCATCACCTCCTCGTCGCTCAGGTCTGATCCCAGTACCGTCTTCTTGAACATGTACTCGCTCTTCTCGAACAGCCTGGTCTGGGACGTGGGAGTGCAGCGAGCCGACCGAGCCCCGGTGGAGGCATCCAGTGTTTGCACCATCTGCTCACCAGCTGTGGTTGGCGGCCTTATGTCCGCATTCGCTGGTGCCGTTGGTGCTCTCTCTGGCTCTGGTGTGGCTGCTGCGGCTGGAGCTTCCGGTGAAGCTGGTGCCTGTGACGCAGCGTGCTGTGCGGCCTGCAATGCTCGCCGCAGCTGCGCTCTCTCCTCGCTCTGAGCCAACGCGACCTTGCCCGCCTCCATGTCTTCGGGAGCCACACCAGCTTCCGCTGCTTCGTGGAGAGCAGCCCTTAGCGCGTGCACCTCGCCAGATTCCATCGCATCTTTCAGCCGCCGTTCTGCCGTGGCCCTTCGCTGAAGTTCACGAAGCTTCTCCAAGGCTTGACTCTTCTCTGCGTCTGTTAATCCCTCATGCTCTGCAGACTCCAATGCGGCCTGCAAGCGATCAAGGTCCGCGGATTGACTGGCGTCCTTCAGCTCCTTTTTCGCTGCCTCTCTTGCGAGAAGGGCTTGCAACAGGCTTTCGGCGTCTTCCAGAGCTTGCCCTGTGAAGCCGGCTCGTTTTGCGAAGTCGATTGCTCGCCTCAGCTCTTCTGCGTCCTCCAATGCGATCGCTGCTTTCAGCTGTGCCTTTGCAGCCTCCTCATCCGCCCTCTGCCGGGCAGTCGCCATCAGCGATGCATCAGCCTCGTTGCTATCTCCCCCCAAGCCTGTCTCCTGACCGGCCTTCAAAGCGGCTTCCAACAGCTCCAATCGGCCACTCTCGGCTTCTTCTGTGTCTGCCAGGGCCTTCCGCAGGCTTTCCCGTGCCCGGGCACGTGCTTCGGCTTGCGCGAGGGCCCGCCGGCAGGCCTCCATCTCGGCTTCTTCCAATTTCGCCATCTCACCGCGCCGCAGGGCCTCGCGCAAGCGCTCCACATCATCAGAGGCCACGGCGGATTCCAGAAGACTTCGGGCTGCAGCTTTGGCCTCCTCCTCCGCCAAGACCTTCGAGGCCTGTTCCAGCTCGGGGCCATCCAGCCCTGCTTTGTGTGCGGCATCAATGGCTGCTCGCAGGCTGGAAACATCCCGGGATTTGCAAGCCTCTGCCAACATCTCTGCGGCATGATCTCTCCTCGCCTGCTCTAACATCGCCTGTCTTTCCAGCTCTCGCTGCCTCTCTGCTTCTTGCTGTTGCTTCCTCGACTCAGCCTCCTCCAGTTCAGCTAGCTTCTCCATCGCAGGAGCCATACTCTCGGCTGAGAGACCAGCAGCCTGCCCTTGGCGTATAGCTGCGCGTAGCTCCGCCATGTCACCCGACATCACTGCGTTCTGCAAGCTCTGCATTGCATTGGATTGCTGTTCACGGCGGCGCAACAACTCCCGAGCGTCGTCGAGAAGCAAAGCACTGACCCCAGCCAGCTCAGCTCGCTTCAGAGCTTCTCGCAGATCTTCGATTGTTCCTTGCCTGCAGAGCTGACAAAAGCATTAGAGTCACAAGAGTGCAGAGCGACGCAGAGCGACGCAGAGCGACGCCGCGAGACGAGCGAGTGAAGATGCTCACAAAAGCCATGGGCGCCTCATCGCTTCTTCCAGTGCTTTGCTCGCCTCTTCTCTCCGCTGCAGCTCTTCCAATCGCCGCACGGACGGTGCCAACTCGTCTGCCCGGAGGCCAGCGCTGCGACCCGCTTCCAAGGCAGCCTCTGGGCCATGCACGTGATACACGCGGATACACGCGGACTCTCGTGCAAACTTTGCCATTGCCTGCAGGTGCGGAATGCTCCCGCCAGCTTCTGCATCCAGCAACGCCTTCCTGGCGGCCTGCTTTGCCTGCGCAGGGTCACATCCAAGGGATGACAAACGGACTCACGGACAACGGGCCCTCGCCACCTCGCCTCTTCCTCTGCCAGGACGCGACGAGCTTCTTCCAAGTCTTCACTTAAGCCAGCGGCTTCGCCCTTGTATATTGCGGCCCTGCAACAGGATTCCACACAGAGTCTTTCACTGGCATGGCTACTCAAGTACACTAGTAGTACAGCATAAAACGCCAGACGTGCTGAAAGATGGCCTCAGTGCTTCGACATTTCGAGAAGCAAGTGCTTCGCGAAGCTTCTTCTTTGCCAGCTCCTGCCACATGCAGGACAGGAGTTTCCGATTACCCGCACATAATGCAACAATGCCAGCAAGATTGCAGAATCTCCAAGACTGAAAAACGCTCTAGACTCTACTACTCTCAGGAATCAAGCAAAGCACACGGCTGCAGAACTAGCTACAGCAAGTACTCCCATGAGTACTTGACTAGCCTTGTTCTCCAGCTCGCGTAGCATGTCTTTGGCTGGGCGTATTTCCTCAGCAGTCAAGCCACTTCGCTCTGCCGTGGCGATGGCTCCTCGCAGCAGCCCCATGTCTTTGGCCCTGAGGGCAAGCTGCAGCCTGGTGCGTGCTTTGGCTTTGGCATCTTCTGCC